GGCCTGGATTCGAACCCGCCACCTTAGGTGTATGTGGCTGGCGCCTTAGCCACTTGAGCCACAGGCGCCGAGCCAACAGATTTTTTTAAAAAACAGTTACTATACTGGCTTGGGCCTGTAGCACAGTGGTTACGGTGCTGGCAACCTACACTGAAGCTGGCAGGTTCAAACCTAGCTCAGGCCAGCTAAACAATAATGACAACTGCAACCAAAACAAAAAAAAATAGCCGGGCATTGTGGTGAGCACCTATAGCCTCAGCTACTTGGGAGGCTGAGACAAGAAAATTGCATAACCCCAGGAGTTGGAGGTGCTGTGAGCTGTGATGCCAGGGCACTCTACTGAGGGTGACAAATTGAGACTCTGTCTCAAAAAAAAAAAGAAAAAAATTATTATAGTGTAAGTAGCATGATTCCATTTTAACATTTCGTTATATCATAAGTATTTACTGATCGACTTAGCTGGTTTTCTTGTATTTGACGAGCATCTTCTGCCCAGGGGTACCATGCTCCCCTGAAAGCTACAGACTCTTCCTAAGTTTTCACCCTTCCTGATGAGGCTGAAATAAACACTCTGTCCATTGGGCCTTCTGAGTCTCATGGTATTCCCCAGGGAAGATGACCAGGAGGGACTTGGTTGGGACGTTGCTGTGATGTGCTCTCCAAAGGCTTGGGCACCTGCTCCCAGCCAGGTGTCTTGAATAGCTACCTCACTGTGATTGGTTTATGGACAGTTTAAGCTTAAAAGGAGCAAAGTTAAAATGCAGTTGATAAGTCAGTATTTTTAGGGACTATGACAAAGAGTTACCAGTGAGTAATGGGGCCAGAGGCACAGGGGATCAATACTTTGGAAAGTAGACACACAGGGAGGTGCTGCACTTACTGAAAAAAATATAAGATGGTGTTTTCACACTGAAGCAGTGAAGCAGAGCTTTGTGGTGATCAGTCTTTTCTCCCTGCAGTGTCTGACGCCGTTCAGATGCAGAGAGAGTGGAGCTTCGCACGGACCCACCCTCTGCTGAGCACTCTGTACCGCAGGGTGGGTGAGGGCCGCATACATGTTTGCGGCCACCTCTGCTAGCTGCCCTGTACTTGTCCAGCTGACTCCCATGGGCACCCCTACCTGAGAGGATTCTCCAGCCCTGACTGACCACCCCACACAGTACCAGGCTGAGCTGCATCTGACCACCTCTGAGTCTTTCCCATGGGAGGTGGCCATGGTGGGCTGAGGGAGGTGAGAGACCGGCTTCTGTCTGACACTAGTTTGCCATGACATCAACGGGAACGGTACTTGTGTTTCAGCTCTTTGTGGTGCTAAGTCCTGAGGAGTTGGTTGGCCATTTGCAAGAAGTCTTAGAAACCCAAGAGGTCAACTGGCAGCGTGTGCTGCACTGCGTGTCTGCCCTGGTCATCTGCTTCCCAGAAGCACAGCAACTGGTCAGCGGTGTGTTCCATGGGGCTGGTGGTACTGGTCATGGTGTGTGAGGGTGGCTTGTCTACTGTAGTGGAGTGTTTATGGTGAGCCCTTTCTCTACCCGCCCAGAGCCCTCTTACTCACCATCCCCAGCTGCCTCTCTGAGACCTGTGCTGTGCACTGGTGCAGAGTCTCAGGGAGCCAAGCTTTTGCCTTTTGAAAATTGGCATTGGGAAGTGCGCATTCTTCTAACTGATACTTGATGTTTCATTTCCGTCTGGAGAGTGCATTCTTCTAACTGATGCTTGATGTTTCATTTCTGTCCTGGCTCTCCCCTAGGTTGGGTGTCCTATCTGATGGCTCGTGCATTTGAGAGCTTCCACCTGGACAGCCTGGTCACTGCCTTCTTGGTTGTGCGCCAGGCTGCGCTGGAGGGCCCCTCTGCATTCATGTCCTATGCAGACTGGTTCAAGGTAAGAGAGTTATTCTCTGTGCAGTCTGGCATCAGAGTGTTTGGTCTCCTTCCAAGTTCTCTCAGCCAGGAGAGCACTTGAAGTTGGCAGGGAATCTGTGTCCTGTCCCTGGGGGGGACCTGCATGGGTGTCTCTGATGGCTTCCTCCCAGCTGGCTCACGGGGTCTGTCCTCCCTGCCAGGGCCCATTTGCCTTAGCTGCTTGACTAAGCCTCCTTCACTCTTTTATTTTTCTCTTCTGGAGACAGAGTCTCACTCAGTTGCCCTGACTAGAGTACTGTGGCATTAGAGCTCACAGCAACCTCAAACTCTTGAGCTCATGTGATCTTCTTGTCTCAGCCTCCCAAGTAGCTGGGACTACATGCACCCACCACAACACCTGGCTATTTTTAGAGATGGGGCTCTTGCTCTTGCTCAGGTTGGTCTTAAATTCCTGAGCTCAAGGGATCCACCTGCCTCAGCCTCCCAGCATGCTGGGATTACAGTCACGAGCCACTGGACCCAGCTTTCCTTTTTTCTTTTATAAGAAAATCAGTGAGAGGCTCAGTGCCTGTGGCTCAATTGGCTAAGGCACCAGCCACATACACCTAAGGTGGCGGGTTCGAATCCAGCCCAGGCCCACCAAACAACAATGATGGCTGCAACAAAAAAATATAGCCAGGCATTGTGGTGGGCACCTGTGATCCCAGCTACTTGAGAGGTGGAGGCAGGAGACTCGCTAGAGCCCAGGAGTTGGAGGTTGCTGTGAGCTGTGATGCCACAGCACTCTACCCGGGGGGACAGCTTAAGGCTCTGTCTAAAAAAGAAAAAAAGAAAAGAAAATCATTGAGATCAGTCAGGAAAGAGGGAGCAGAAGTGCTCTTGTTGCTTTTCTGCAAAATCTGCTGAGTCTTATTTTCTCATAAGAACATCATTCCCAGAGGCGCCATGCTCCTTGTGTCCTGTAATGCACCTGTGCCCCTGACAGAAGTTCACCTGCTATTCCCAAGCCTGTGTGAGCATCATACTCACCTGGGGAGGACTTTGGGAGCAGCTGAGGTGGGGACCTCTGGGCCATGCGGGGGGGTGTCTTTTGGGCATTAGCACTGAAGCTTGGCAGATACTGTTTGGAGAGTGAACCCTGTGGCAGTGTTGGGCTTGCAAACACCCACCATGGGCACTAGTTGCCTCTCTGTGAGAATCTCTCTTTCCTCCAGACTCAGAGGGCAGCAGTGCCTTGCCCTCTGAGAAAGGGGCTGCCTAGCAGGTGAGCTGCCACCCTCTGATCTTTTGGGAGAAGGATTGTGATTTCCCTGGAGTGCCTTCTCATTGGAACTTAGGCTCCTCCAGCTCTGCCCAAGTGACCTGGACTCCCCTGGACACAGACATGAGTCGCTCGCTCTGTGCACAGCCAAGTGCTGAACCCTTTGTGCCAGAACCTACCATGACTCTGGGCCATTCACATGCCCCCACCTGCTGTCCTGGATGCTCTGTCACTTCTCTGGAAGGTAGCAGTCCACCCAGTGATCTGCGTCTCAGATTAGGTATCTTTCAGGGTTTACATTGTCCCAAGGTGACAAGACTATTGGGAGAGGAACACTTCTGGAGTGCTGTTTCCAGGAGAGTGTTGTGGTTTTCTTTGCTTTTTCTTTTACTTTTGAAAGCAACCATTTTGGTGGGGGCGCAGTGGCTCATGCCTATAATCATAGCACTCTGGGAATCTGAGGCAGGTGTGTTGCCTGAGCTCCAGAGTTGGAGACCAGCCTGAACAGAGCAAGACCCTGTCTCTACTAAATATAGAAAAAAAAAAAAACAACCAAAAAACTAACTGGGTGTTGTGGTAACCACCTGTATAGAAGTATAAGTTTTTTTTGTGTGTGTGAGACAGAGTCTAACTTTGTTGTCCTTGGTAGAGTCCCATGGCATCATAGCTCACAACAACCTCAAACTCTTGGGCTCAAGTGATCCTCTTGCCTCACTTTTTTCATTTTTAGGCCACTGTGCCTTGCCTGGAAATATAATTTAAATACAGTGTACCCTATTTAAGCATATACTTGGATGACTATTATTTATGTATGTAGTTATTTAATGTTTGAAATTTGAATAGGAGTTTTAATCTTTTTCAGTTTTTTTTTTCTTTAGACAGAATCTCACTTTGTTGCCCTGGGTAGAATGCCATGGCATCATCATAGCTCACAGCAACCTCAGTCTTGTGGATTCCAGCAATTTTCTTACCTCAGCCTTACGAGTAGCTGGGACCTCAGGCACCTACCGCAATGCCCAGCTATTTTTTGAGATGGGGTCTAGCTTTGGCTCAGGCTGATCTCAAACCTGTGAGCTCAGGCAATCCACCCACCTGGGCCTCCCAGAGTGCTGGGATTACAGGCATGAGCCACCATGTCCAGCTTAGTTTTTCTGTTTTCAGTAGAGATGAGAGTCTCACTCTTTTGCTCAGGCTGGTCTTGAACTCATGAGCTCAGGTGACCCACCCTTCTCAGCTTCCCAGAGGGATTACGGATGTGAGCCACTGTTCCTGGCCTTGTTTTAACTTTTTTTTTTTTAAAAGAAATGTTAATATAAATAGACCAAGTGATTGCTAATTTGAACCCTTTGGGTTGTTAATATAGTTCTTAGCACACCACATTATGTCGTTAGGTAATTTTCTTTTAATTATGGAAAGAAATTTTTTTTCTTGAAGAGAAACTAAAACTGACTACAGTCTGGTGAGTACACTCTGGTGTGTGCGTCCATGAAGTTTTTACCTTAATGCTCTGTAGAGTGTAGGTTCCCATTCTGGCATACATGTGTCTCTGCCACAGCCAGCATCTCACTGAGTCATGGGAAGAGGTTCAGCGTCAAGTGAACTGCGACCCTGTTCCTGAGGTGGGAGACTTAGGCGGCCATGGGATGGGATGGTTGTGTGCCAGGGTGGATGCCCTACCATAGTCTCCAGCTTGTGTCTCTAACTGACAGGCCCTGAGCTGCTCGCTCTCCTAGTCTTTGGCACGTGGCTGATGTCTGAGCTTTGTTTCTCTGCATACTCTCAGGAGCACGTTATGGTGTCATCAATCTTTCCTCTTTTTATCTTACATTTTTTGGCATCTGTTTGCATGGTAACACCCAACAGAATCGATAGATTGTGAGGGAACGTGGTGCTGCTCAAGAAGACCAAGGTGGGCCTTTAGCCCAAGCTACAGCTCAGCTTTTGCTACTGGGGCAGTGAGTGTATGTCTTGTGCAGTGTGCCGCCTCCTCATATGTGGCCAGCCCAGCGGGAGCGTGTGAGTCGTTTGGCCCCCATGTACGCATCCTATTTCCAGGTCATCTGTGATATGTTTTGGGCCATGTTTGTTGAAGCCTTTGTCTTGCCCTGACCCATAGGATCTGTAGCAGCAACTATGGCAGCCCCATCTGCCCTGGGAAGGGTTGGCACCAGGCCTGCTAGCCTTTTGCAATTGTGCTTTGAGCTCTCCGTGTCAGTGTAGGGATGGCTGCCTTGGCTTGTGTTCCTGCAGCTGCCTCTGCAGCGTTAAGTCCACTCAGGGATGAGTTTAGGAGTGAAGATGTATTCAAAGTGGCTTCCGGGAATGAAGAGGGCACATTTTGGGGGGAGAGCCCTTGTTAGGGCAGTTCTTAATTGTACATGAGGATTACAGGAGGATGCTATAGTTACTGTTTCTGTAGCAAATTAGTTTTTACTTTATTCCTTTGGATAAACTTTCAGTTTAGCTCTTGAAAACCCAGCATGACATTGTGAAATTGTGAACCAAAATCGCTATTGGTCATTTCTCTCTGTTACAGTAGCAATTTTCTAGTGATGAGATGGAGACTATCAAGGCAGCCCTGACCCTGCCTGGCTGTCCTTGGGCCTCATGCTCCTGTCCCCACAGGCCTCCTTTGGGACCACACGAGGCCACCACATCTGCAGCAAGAAGGCGCTGGTCTTCCTCTTCACATTCCTGTCAGATCTTGTGCCCTTCGAGGGTCCCCGGTACATGCAGGTGAGATGCTGCAGCCCTGTGGCTCATAGCACTTTGCTCACTTCTCTGTTTGAGGACCCCCTAGCTGCCTCTCTGCCCTGAGCCTTGCCTGGGCCCTCCCTTCCCCACATAGTTCACAGGGAAGTGACACAAATGGTGTAGGTGGGGATATCAGTGTGGTGGCCTGGTCATAGCCGTTCAGAGTGACACGTCTCAGCCATGTGGAGACACATCCTCAGTGTCCGGCTCTGCAGGGCGAGTAAATTATTCAACAGTGAGTGTAGCAGGTCTCGTTTTGCTTTAAAAATTGACTCATTTCAGTGGAAAATGAAACACATTACAATAATAAGCTTAAGTTACATATAGTTTTAAAAGTTTCAAAGAATCTTGATACAAAATCAGTTTATATTCTGGAAATATTTATAATAAAGTGTTCTAATTTCTAAAAAAAAGAAAGTGACTCATTTCATTTCATTTTCATGGGAGGTGCCTGTGGCTCAGTGAGTAGGGCGCCGGCCCCATATACCAAGGGTGGCGGGTTCAAACCCAGCCCCAGCCAAACTGCAACAAAAAATAGCTGGGCATTGTGGCGGGCACCTGTAGTCCCAGCTACTTGGGAGGCTGAG